CCATGAGAAACATTGGTTGGAGGTGGTGCAACAGCAATGATCTTCCTGTATGAAACATTTATTGAGAATGGAATATGTAAATGTAGAATATATAAGTTATAATTATGCTAAGATCATGATTTGAGATTAACTATGAAATATTTTAGTCTTCATCAAAGGATTCTACTGTACACAAAGAAGTAAAAGAATATGATCAAAACAGAAAATAGTATAAGTTTTTTGCATGTTCATGAAAGGAATCACTTAATCACATTTTTGTAGTTCTATTTCTATTTGTAGTCTAATTATTTTGTATTACCTATCCTATCGGTGTCAAATATGTTCAACAATGTACAGACCAATTCAATAAATTAGAATATTACTGAACAGCCCTTTTTTTTAGGAACTTTATCGCTAAGTGAAATATTATAGATTAATTACACACAGATGGGTATTTGAAAGCCTTTATTTATGTTAATTATGATCATTTTCAGATTACTGTTAATAAAATCATGACATTTAAGAGTAAAATACTACATCAAACCGATTAAAATTATTTTTAATAGCAGAAATGTGGGTTTTGTGAAAACTAGGTACTTGAAAACTGAATACTTGCTTGGAGGATATTTTCAAAAGGTGCTTTTGATCTGAAAATGAGACTCATATATCAAAATGTATTTAATATGACTGTGGTGTGCAACTCTAATATTTAAATTCAAATTCAAAAACACTTTATTGATCCCAAAGGAAAATTAAATGTTGCTGTAACAATTTATAGCACTTTCACTTTATCTGGTTAGAGCTAGAAAAGCATTTTATTTTAGCTATCAAAGTACAAAAAAGTACATTAAGATACTATTAGATTGATTAAAGAAAGTTTTTATCTTGAGATGGATAAAACAAGGTTAGCATCTGTTGCTAATCTAATCCTAGCATCGAGATCAAAACTCTTATTCGGAGGCTCAATGATAGTAACACAGTTAGTGTAAAATATGTCAAATCAGAATAACGATCTGTTTTTAAAAGGTAAAAGTATATAACCAATTAAGTGAGAACTTTTTTCTTGTTTTTCACTCTTAGTTTTTCTAATTGAGAATACTTCAGGTTATTTCCTTAGAACAAGAAGGTCTGCCATGATAACAAAATTTTCAGTAATTATTGGGATAAACAATAAAATTGTTATTTTGAGACCATTTCCAAGTAATAAATTGAGTATATAATGCATGTAAATTTTGTAAAGTGCACTTCACATTAGAACTGGAAGAGATTTTAAATATTCGACAATCAATACAACAATAAAAAAAACCAAAAACCCACACAAAACCATAAATAAAATGGACTATGATGTCTCTGCAAACCAAACTTTAATCATCAAAATTACCCATTTTAATTCATCATCTGATAAATTGTTGTTGCATCAGGGGTAGAGGCAGGAAGATATTTGGTGACGCACCGACTCCAGCCTTCATCTGGTTGGTAAATAATCCTTGGATTCTAAATAAAAATGATGTTATAAAGGTTTGTAAGTAGCGTTGTATAAACTGCTGTGACATTTTACATAAACTGGCGTTGTTGGTAGAAGTCCAGTTTGGTTTATTTATTACAGACAAGACATTAAATGTTTATAACCTTTTAACTGAACTTTAAAAATCCTGACGTTTCCCTTTAAGGCGCTCTGAATGCTGCAACGTTTCTGTGCCACAATAGGATTTGAGAAACTTTTATCACCTGACCAATTTCAGGACCTGATGACAAAGTATCTAAGTTTTACAGTGTTTTTTCTATTGAATCTTCTGAGATTTCTCCTTTTTCAGTGATCTGTTGAAAAAAAAAATGGGACCAATAACTGGGTCACAAATATAAATTTATCTCATGCACTGGACTAGCCTACACTGGTAGAAGCCTTCTTTTCTAATGCACTGGAGAGCCTCATCTTAGATCATTAAATCACAGATCTAATGATAGATTTTAATCCAGTTTTGAGCCATATTTAGTCCACTGGTGATTTGATATCAGCCTTTGCTACATAGATGCCCAGTTGTGTAATATTTTATGCACTCTGTTCCTCAGGGCAGGATTGGAGTGCCATATGTGCATGATGGTTGTTACCGTTTTTACTCCAGGTTGTAGTGCAGTCGGAAAAATTTGCCAATTTCTGGCATAGTTTAAGTTTTGGTTCATGGTAGAGATTAAGGTAAAGTTCAGTCAGAGCAGAAATAATAGTTACTTTATCCTGTTTTAAAAACCCAGCTGGAATCTCTTTGTATCAAACTGGAAGGTCTACAAACTTTAATGATTTTTATTCCAATTTTTCTTTTCTTTCTTTGCATTTAACCTTCACCCTTTGGGGTGACTAACTTTGGCTCTTCTTTATCTCGGTTTATCTGTGTTAATGATAGAATTACTAACTGTTTTTGGGTTTAAACCGTAGATAGATGCACATGGATTAGAGAAGATTTATTTTGTCGTCAGTTGTTTATTGGTGGGCTATGCTTGTTTCACTGAAGAGCTTTAAATACAGTCGATATTGACTCCCTCTGCTGTTCTGACCTTTTTTTCTAAGTTTGAACTAGTATTTACATGTTCATGACACAGAATAGGTGATTGATTTCTGCTCCTCACTTGATTGATGTGCCCTGTTTGTCATGCAGGAACAGTTCATGAATGTTCATCGGTCTTATTTTTGGATCTCGGTTTGGCTCAAGAGGGCCGTTAATGCTTGTGCCCTCTTAGTGATCCACACGCGTCATTCTGCAGTGGCACAAACACTAATTTTTATATTTATTTTCTCCTTCCACTCTGGAGCTTTCAGTCGGACTCTGCCTCCCTAATCTCATTTTGCAGCTCTAATCAGAGATGTTGATGAATTAGCAAGACTCTGGCTTCAGTTTTTGATAAATGAGAGTTAGGGGTCAGGAAGCGGCCATCAGCAAAAGTCTAAATGCATTTACCTAATCAGTGCCAGAATTGGTCATTCTCATGAGCTAAATTGTCTGCCACTATTCTGGAAAGTATTTCCACTATCAGTGCATTTTGTCTTCTTAAGATAATTAATATAATTCCACATTTTGAAAATAAATTCACTTAAGATTTGGACAAAATTAATTTTTTATAAAAAAAAAAATTGGCTCTCGAATGATGTGTTTTTTTAGCTGTATAGAAATCGCTTTATTTTGCAAAACTGCAACGGAAACACTTTTTCACATCATTGCAAGTGGAAGTTAAATGTTGTAACACATCGTATCTTTAAAGAGTCGTTTGTAGATGGTGATGCTCAGGGTTGGAAGGATCTCCTATAGCACTTAGTACTGCAACTAATCTGATGAGGCCTCTGACTGAAGAATGTAGCTGTGTTGAATTTTCATAATTAAAAAAAGATCATAGTAAATATCACAAACAATTTTGATGAAACTTTGCATCCATATCACTCTATAAGTCATTAATATCTACATTACAATCAAGCTAAACAAATTAACACAATTTTTCATGCAGACTTTTCTTTTTTATTCTCTGTGACTTCGTACAAATCTGAAAATAAAAATAACAATAAGGCACTGCCCACCAAAACAGAAAATCTAAACATTACCAAAAATATATTACACTCTAAGAACTCTAATAAATAGATGATTATATAATCTATATCAACTCCTACGGTCCAGCCTTAGTTGTTAATAAACTATAAATATTTGTAGTCTAAAAGGATCCACACACACAGTAACGCTGGTAGTTCTGACCACACCATCGGCCGTTAACGACTTCCACAAAATAAAAAAACATAAAAATATAGTTATTATTCTTGCATTAACTCAGTTTCATGTTATACTTTTAGAGAGCCTGAGTTTTTCTGTTAGAGTATATATTTATATATATATATATATATATATATATATATATAATATATATATATATATATATATATATATATATATATATATATATATATATACATCGTGCATGCAATTTTTCCCCGATAAAAAAACATTCATTTCATCTCATAGCTTAAAAAAGTACAAAATTTGTATCAACTTTATGTTAAAAAAACAAAATAAAGAGTGTAACATTCAAATTCTGATAATGCCACAGATTTTCATGCCATCCAAGGTCCACTACACATGTAGCCAGATATCTGGGAAAACCAAAACATTTTTAGACATTTTGGCTGTTCATCCAACCAGAGTGGAGATTTGAGGAAATAATGCAGCAATAAATCCACAAACCTGCTTTGACATGATTCCTAATCAAAATTGGCCTGTATTGTATTATTTATATTTATATAAAATAAACATTTCAAAGTAGTTAAACTTATATCCACATAAAGGAACCTCTTGGCGCCCCTGTTAGGTTTAAATCCTAACTGGAAGTCGTGGTTGTTTTGAAACAACCTGATTAGCTGACATGGACTTTAGCTTTGCGCCACACTGCCCCCTGTGGGTTTGGCATGTTTAAAACAAGTTGAAGAGTGTATTTGTACGACGGAGTAGTAGAACCAGGCTAAGAAACAAGCCTGGTTACGAGAATAAAGTCATACAATTACAAGAATAGAATCTTATTACAGAGAGTAAAATTGGAGTAACAAACTTAGCCACTTGCACAATCGTTTCAGAGTCCTGCTATTGATGCTGGTGAGTTAATAACTTAAGCATTTCCTCATCTGTGAAACAAATTGCAAAGTATAACTTTACAAGATGCCCAACTCTTCATTTTACCTTATTTTTATATTTTTGTAACACTACTTTATTCTTGTATGACTTTGTTCTTGTAATATTCTGACCTTATTTTCATAATTTTATATCTTTCATGAAATTTTACTACATTTTTCTTAGCCTTGCTCTAATATTCTGTCGTACAATGGAGTATGTGGCCATACTAAGAAAAAATAAATAAAATTACAAAAATAAAATCATAATATTATGACTTTATTCTCATAATATGTGATTATTCTCATGATTTTATTATTTTTATTTATCATTGCTATTATTATTTTCTCTGTTATATAGTTGAGTTAGGGGCATATTTAAAAAAGTAAAAAAAACTAAGAGAATAAGGTCGTAATATTCTGACTTCATTCTTGTGTTTTTTGGTTTTCTTGGCGTGGCCCTGATACTCCGTCGTACCGTTGTATGTTTGCTTGGGTTCATCTGATTGAAGTTTTTCTGAAACTGATTTCTCGTGTGCGATATTTGTGTTTTAGAATCGATGCAGGGGAGATATTAGTTTTTATAAAAACCCGGCTACATGTGCACAAGGCCTTGAGAGTCAGCTGAGATCAGAGATTAAGTAACGAAGCAGCTGATCGTCTTGAAATGCCTAAAACAGTCATCGTCCTCGTTTCCGTCAGCGTTTTGCAGAGATCCTGCGTTTGGGCTGGAACCGGAACCAGCTGTAGTGTTTCGCTGGGCGATCACAGGGTGAGAATGGTCGGCGAGTGCAGGGAGTGATCCGACTGGTCGCCACTGCTGCTGCTGCGCCGATGGGCGACTCCGCAGGGCTGCTGGGCCTGAGGGTGCAAGGCCTGATGGGACGCGGCAGGCGCTGCTGCTTCCGACGTGGAGGACGGATACGTGAAAACCATGCCAGCAGAGAAGGACAGGAGTGACGGCGTCGATATGAGAACCGGCGTGTGGAGCGACTCGGACTCAGAGGCGACGACCGAGGCGGTGGACGCCACCGGTTTGGCTGGGATCATTATCTTCGGTTTGGGCTTCTCTGGCTTTTTTGTGGAGGGTCCCGGAATGATGGATTCCTCTGGTTCCAGTTTGATGCCTCCCAAAGAAGAAAGCGAAGGCGTGGCATCAGAATCGGAATCAGAGTCGTCTATCTTGCAGATGGGACGGTGGGCTTCCAGGACCAACTCCAGCTTCTCCTTCTCCTTCTGCAGTAGTGCTATTTCTTTCTGCAGACGCGACTTCTCATCCTCCAGCTGATCGGTTTCCTGCTCCGGAAGGGAGGACAATCAAGTTCATTCATGCCTGACTCAGGTATTTGCACTTTTTAGGAATTAAGTGTTATGACGCGTGTAAAATCTTTACTCACATTTTGTAATGAGTCAGTCAGCTCACGGCGGCGATTGCGACATTTTGCTGCTGCCATTTTATTCCTTTCCCTTCTGATCCTGCGTCTTTCCAGTTCTTCAAGTGACAACTATGATTAAAAAGAGAAGTACAAACTATTACATATCAGAAAATAGGTTACAGAGCTGTTAAAAAGTATTTACGCCCTTTCAGGTTTCTTCAGTGTTTGCTTTTTTGTGTCACCTAAATGTTTCAGACCTAAACCTGGTTGACATTTTTAAACTTTTAAAAAATGCCAACCTGGTTTTAGGGGTAAATTATTTACCCTAAAAGTGTTTTTTAATAGGGTTAAAACTGGACAATAACATATCACAATATAAGAGTTTCAAGTTGATATTAATATTTATTGATTAGTTAGTATTTGAGATATTTCAAACAAAAACAACCATTTCTTGTTTTGTACATAAATTACTCTAAAGTTGTTGAACATATTTTCTATTTTCACTCTGCTCTGATAGCTGCTGAAAGTTACACAGCAAGTTGTTGCTCGGTAAGCAATGAGTGAGTGAGTTGGTTGATTCCACCAGCCTTCCTTGGCCATTCAGAAGCAGATTTGTTACGTTTAAAATCCCAAACTGATTTCCCTACAACTCAAGATGAGAAGAGCTTTGTCTTTTTGCTGTGGAACTTTACTAAATTGCCTTTTTTGACTTTTGCTTTTTCATCTCGTCGCAATTTGGTTTTTCTAGATTTTTTGTCCTACCATCTGTTTTCTTATAGGTTCCATTTAGGTGATGATACTTTTGATCACAAAGTAATCAGGTGTGAGTTGGTAAAGAGAAATTAAACTCGGTTTTGTGAAAGTGTGGCAAAAAAGCAAGAGGAGCAATTGCTTTCTGTGTCAAAATCGTCTAGTCAAAAAATTATTTTACCTACTCAACAATAAAGTCATAAGACTTGTTCTAAATTATTCTAAATCCAAAATTTAAAATGGGCTTTGCAGGTTTGCCTTGTTCAAATAAAATTTGCAAAGTGTCAATTGGAACAAAAATTGGCTCAATCCAGTCAATTCCAATCAATAGAATCTGGATTTTTCTGTGAGAAATGTTTGCTGTATTTAGCCAAATTTTTCAAATGAATCAAAATCAGATTTGGGTTCAGTAAAGTTGCTGGATAGACATGGAGAAGGCAAAAAGCCTGCTTATTTAAAGACAAATAATTATTGTTGTTTCCAACATTTTAATCTGAAACATTAAAATGTGACAAAGAGCAAAAACATAAGACCTAAAAGATGAGTTGCATTTTCTTGCTTCTGTATCATATAACTGGAGAATTACCACCACCATGTGTGGACTCTGAGTCATAACAATCATGGCGGCTGAATAACTCAGTATCGTCTTCTTCTTTTTGTGCTTGTAACATGACAAGTCTGGCTTTATCCGACACCCTAATGAATAATTACAGTTGCGCCCTATATTTCCTGCCCTTTTGGGTCCATGACTCACGCTCAGACCCCTGGGGTGAGTCAAGTGATGAGTCACAGAAAATGACTTGCCCATGTGAGTCACATGACTGTGTACTTCCTGTACCATAAAATCGCAGCTCTGTGTCGTGGATGTGTGCCAATCAGCAAGTGCCCGCTGAAAATGAGAAGTTGCTATATGAATGAAGTTACAACGGTTAAAAGTTGCAACAAGAGGGATCCACATCTGAGATTTCCTCTGACATCTGGAAGCTTTTTGTTTCACGTGTAAACAATAACCATAAAGTAAACAGAGGATGTTTACATCAGGGAATAAAAACTATTCAAGAGCTCAGTTTCTCAGGAAAACCTATTTCTAAATGACTGAAATTCAGAAAACAGTAACTGTGTGACACAATGCTACGGGATGTTACAGAAATGACTGAGTCACTGCTCACACCTCTGACCTCCTTAACTCCCAGATATCTTATTTTTATTCTAATTATATAGCTGCTTTTCCATTACAAATATGCACAAAACTTTGTCGAAAAACACAATTTCGCAATTGCAGTGTTTCCACTAAGAAACACCATTAAAAATGAATAAGTAAAGTCTTTAAAAACATTACGAGCTATAATCCTCCTACCACTTCCTGTTTTCTTCTTCTTCGTGGTTTGTGCCAGTAGCATCAGCCAGTTGATCGTGTGATGCGAAAAAAGTGTTTTCATTGCAGTTTTATATAATAAATCAATTTTGACACCTTTTTCAAAAAAAAAAAAAAAGGTGTGTGGAAAGCTAATTTATTGTCAGATGTTAGTTTTTGACCATCTCAAACCTACCTGCTCATCATTCCTGCGCCTTGTGGGCGGTGGGGTATTAGCAGCTGCCCTTATGACCCCGGGTCTGATGAAATGGGACTGGGAAGGCGGCGGACCCATCGGCCGGGCCCCCACGATGGATGGGTAAGGCGGTACCGGTGAGTGTGAAGGTCCTGGAGGATGCATGAGTGAGGGCTGGAGCAGCCACTGGAGGTCCTGGTTTGTTGTGATGGCATTCAGACTTGGGACAAAGGGGTTGCTGCCTGCCATTGTGAATTTCTGGAATGATGATAATAATAATGATGAATAAACATTGTTATGTAGCAGAAAACTAAAGACAAAGTGACGAAACAAACTTTGTCACTTTGTCATTAAACATAAAAATTGATATAGTCATCAGAGATGGGAAGAATAACTACTTCAGCATATTTTTACATAAGTGAAGTTAAAAGGAGCCGTCCAAGAAATTGCTAAAGTAAAAAAGTATTTGGTAAAAAGTTTACAGACGTATTAATAAACTAATCAAGTTATTAATAATTTAATATTTAAAAATGACAATCAGATGGACAAAAATGAAATCTAAGAGGAAATTTTGGTATCGTAAGAATGAAAATGTCAACAATTCATAGAAGTAACAAAAAATAAAATCAGGTGAAAAAACATTTTTCCAAATCAGTTTCTTTCAATAGGAAACTTATGAAACTTTAATAAAAACTGCAAATGTCAGAGAGTCTAGACATTTTACTCAAGTAAATGTAATTGAGTAACTATAACTAGTTACTACCCAGGTCTGGCAGACACTACAATTACAAAATATCTGATATATTATTTTTATGTAACACATTAAATAAATTTTACATTAAAAGTACTTAAACCCCTGAGTGTAATTCTGTTCAACCTCTGACCTTGTAGCCTAGTTGGGTGCGCGCACACCTACCTGCTCCTGCTGGGTGCTGGAGGTGCTGCTGCTGCTGCTGCCGCCCAGTGATGCGGAGCTGGACCCGGACAGGTTGCCTCCGTACGCCGGGTTGCCTCTCCCTTGACTCCCGAAGTTTCGATACATCCTCTCCGGCTTTCTGAGAAACGCAACCGAACCCAGCCTCCGCTGTGTGTGTCTATAGAGCCTTTAGATCGTAGCTTTCGGGATGAGTCTTGTGGGTTAATTCAAACTCTGGGGGCAAGCCCACTGTATTGCCGTAAATCGGTAGAGTCCAAACGAGTTCGTTCCGAAGGGGAGCAAAGAGGGGGAAAAGAGTTTGACTATTGTTTAAATCGAGCTAAAACGTCCGAAAGTTGTCCAAGCCGCACCTCCGGCTTTCTAGTCATCCATTTAGAATCGGAAGTCTGGGAGTAATTGTCAGGTTGTAAACCCTTAAAGCCGGAGAATTGGTTTGCCACGCCCCGTAACTTTACGGGAAATAGTGTTGTCTGGAATCTCTCACGAACTCAAACCACGTGGGGCTGACGTCACTGCCCATATATGGTGAGTTTCCTCCCCGCCACTACAAACAGGGATTCCTCAGGCGGCGTCACCTCATGGTCAAAACTAGCTGTTTTGTTTCGTGTGTTATCAAACGTACAAGTGGAAATGTTATGATATTTTCCAGTTTCAGACAAGAGGCCGCCTCCTGCTGTAACCGGCACACACAGGAAACAGCCAGTTTCCAAAGGCGAAACCAACTGTTAGCGAGTGAAAGTGAGACGATATGTTAATTTGATTACTTTATAAGTAGCCAGAATGCTGTAATTTAAAATACATTTGTAAATAAAATGATGGCTTTGAGTATTTCTTGAGGTTGTTACTTGTAAATGGGTTTGTAAAGTGGTTATTGTGCTGACAATTATAGAACATTAAGGTAATGATAATGTTTAGACACAAGTGTAAACTTGTAAATGTAATGTATTAGTATAAATATAGCCTACTAATACAGGTAAATAAAAACAGGTAAGCTCAGAAATTATTCTTATTTGTTAGTTTTGTGTGGGAGATTACACAAGTATAATCCAAATTTTAATACAGTGTATAAGTTAGCAACAAGAGTAACATAATAACAATAACAAATATTAGAATTAGTGTTATTATTGTGATTGGACAGACAGACAGATATTTTTGTTTTTTAATTGTTATTAAATTGATTTTACTATTTTATTGCAAATGCATATTTTATTTAATTTTAATGGCTATCTTGATTTTCTTGGTTTTTATTTGTAATCTATATTCTTTTAATATAATTTTTTATATTTGTTTATTTAAATGGATAAATATTAAGTTTATTAATCTTTGTCTTTAATAAATTAACAAAAATTCTTGGTCCACAATAGAGGTAAAAAATTAGGAATAAAAGAGGTTAAATCTATTATTATTAAATATTAACTTTTAAATTGTTATAAAGCATTTAAAGTTAGTATGAATTTCTATGGATTCATGTGAGGTACAGTGCAATTTTAAACATGTAAATAATCATCATATGAACAACTTATATATGTGATAAAAGATTCCCATAATGTCATAAATAATCCTGTATGTGTATTTTGATGAATCCACGTTAATTTGTGACTGAGACTGAACAGTCAGGCAGAGAGCTGAGCACGTGCCTGTAAAACCTGAGTTTTTTGGCCACCACTTTCACTGTAAACCACATCAATAAGCACACATTCTTGTGGAAATGAGTCACCTAAATGGCGCAAAGCAGCTCTGTTACTTCACCACTGGTTTTACCACATTTCCCTTTTTTTAATACATGCAAGCATGTTATAGTACCTAGTAAAGATTAAAATTTTGCAAACTGCATTTTTGGTAAGCTTAGTCTGTCACAACAGCTGCTGACCTTGCAGTCCCTCTGGGACAGAGTTCCCGGCATCGGTTGATCTGACCCGTGGCTGACTGCTGCTCTCATGTCTCGTGTTACTATTAACTCCGGTCCTGCAACGTTTGAACAGCAGTTGTTAATATTTAATGCTGGAGTCACAATTTTTTTATGCTTTACATGGGAAACAACAAGTGAGACCTGTAGCTTTTTGTCTCTGGGTTAAAAGTTTCAGGTTTAAACATTGTTAAACCAGAACATACAGGGTGATTTGTTTGTAATATGCTGAAAGGTGTCATAAAAAATAAAATAGGGTAAAGGTGAGTGTAAGGTGAGTCAGCTGTGAGAAATTCACTGATGAGACATGTGAAGTGGTGACATGCCACAACATGTCTTCTTCCTATTACACCTTCAGTTTCCCTCTGGTTTTATCCTCTACCCTTACTTTTACAAGTAAACCCAACTCTAACTTCCTTAATTAAATGTTTAGGTTTTTTAAGTGGTGAAACTCTGACTAACTTCCTCATTCTTTGTTTCTGTTTTGAGTTTCCTCCAAAAATTTAACATGATCCAAGGCGGAATAAAGGAAGCTTGAATTCCTTTGCAGTTTACTCATCTAGAAATCTCTGCATGTTGTCACATAACTCATCCCACACCCACCCACGCCTTCTACCCACTCACACAACGATGCTGCCATGCCACAGATTAATTTATTAAGCAGGATAGGTGTCTAGAGTCACGCCATGCCACCTTTATGCTTACACATTACAAAGAAATAAAGATTATCTGTAATCATAAGGTGAAGTCCGAACATGAATATACTGACTGTGCCTTAAATCTACATTATTCACAATGTCATGTTACACTATCTAAAATATGACACACTTTTAGTTTATGGAAATATTTATGCCAATGACAGGAATAAATTGAATAAAATTTACAATCAACTGCCCCAAGTAGCAAATTAAGACTTCCGAGAAGCTGTAAGTTGAAACCTCAATCTAAAGTAGCAAAAATTAAACTATCTTACTCTTTAGAGAAAACCTCTGCATCTTTCCAGAATTTGCCGCTGCGCCAAAGTTGAAGCTTGACAAAAATTTCCAGCTGCCTGGATGGACAAGAGGAGAAACATCTGGATAAGAGATTTATTTGAGATGATATAAAGATTGAGCAATTTGACCACAACTACTAGAAGTCCTGCATCTTTCCAGATGCAGGAGTTTAAAGTTGAAGCAAAGTGATGGCAGTGTCATGCTGTGGTGATGTGTTACCAACATGGCTGCTGGTGCAAAGAAGAAAGTGGACCAAATAAAGAAAACGATTCATTTGAACTTTTTCAACTTCACCTCAAGTATTCACTACAAATATTACCAAGTATCTTGGTACAGTTTAAATAACAATAATAGTAATTTATTTAAAGTTAGCTTACAAGCAACTTTTCAGTAAGAAAGAGGAGCTTGTTTTAAGTCAATAACTCTCTTAATTTTGGTGAAAAAGTTGCAGTTTCATTAGCAGATTTTTTCACTTTTAACTGGGAAAATGTTTGATTATCAGTGACCTAATCTGCAATTCGAACTAACAGTTTTTTTATTTTTTATTGGCTTAAAACAAGCTGCTATATCATTCTGAAAAGTTACTTCTAAGTTAATTTTGTTATATTTCACTTGTGCTAATATATTTGCACTAGAAAATAGTCCAGAAATACTTGGTAAAATTTGATCTCTTTTGCTGTGTAGCTGAAATTTGGGTCCTGATGGGAGTAAAACTGGTTTTAAAGTGGAGAAAAAAGTATATCTTTGAGCTTTTTGAATGGCTGTGTAAAAACTTTTATTTGTCTTTAAAAACTTTGAACTGGAAGCAAAAAAAAAAGACCTAGAATATTAAAATTTTGCCAAGACTAAACTTCGAGTGAATTAATCCAGAACTTTGTTGAAAAACGTGCAAAGAAAGTTTTATGAACTATTTATCAGTATAAACAGTACCCTACTGTTTAGAAAATTAATAGAATATTTTCAATATTTGAATTTTATGATATTACAACCACAAACTTTAAGAAATTTAGCTTTAGTTTCTCATAATAGCTCAGTATAAAGAACTGTATAATAATATTTAAATGTTTTAATTACGTTCCAGTTTGATTCCAGTTATCAATTAATTTTATGATCCAAACTGATTAAAAGGTTTTCTATCAAATAAAACCCAGGCGATTGCAGCAAGTATGAGGTATCAAAAATTTTGTAAATTACAATTTGAGGCTGGATTTGTGGAAAAATTAAAAATATGGAAAAAACAACTTGTTCAAATAAATCACTTAAGTTTTTATTTGTCAGTGAAAGTGGGTGCAAATATTTACCTTTCTACCAATTAGTTTGATGGAAAAGTCCTGTCCTACATACTGGGAAGTGTTCTAATTACATCCAAGTGAAAAGTGGGTGATCCATTCTCAATTTCCCCATTTCATATTTGTTCCTCTCACTTTGAAGCTTCTCTATTAACCATTTATTGCATTGGTGTTAGTGAAATAGTCTGATTCTTTCTCCCAGTAGTTGTTTTCCTTCAGGCTTTAAAAGCTCCAGTTCTCAAACCGCTGCTGGAAGAGAACAGTCTGGGCAAGTCGCTATTGGAAAATTACCACTTTTTCCAAGTGATTGTTGGAAAAACAACCACGTTTTTCCAACGAAGTGATTGGAAAAACTCTGTTTAAACGTTTGAGTGCTGTCAATTAGTACATTAAATAGAAGAGGTTCAAGGATTAAATCTTGGGGTACTCCTGCCTGTTCTAATGAGTAGTTCTCTATTCACACAAAGGGAATAAGCACAAGTCACATATGGAGTACCCCAAGGTTCAAACATGGGACCCTTTCTATTCAATATCTACATACTCCCACTAGTTCAGGTTCTAAAAAAATAATAAGATTAGTTAATATAACTATGAAGATGACACACGGTTCCACATTACAATGTCACCAGGAGACTATGAACCCATTCATGCTTTGAGATACGCAGAACAAATCAATACATGGACATGCCACAACTTGTTCCAGCTGAACGGAAACCAAACTGAAGTCATTATTTTTGGACGTAAAGAGGAACAACCAAGAGTCAGGACACAGCTTCAATTATTACAGTCAGAAACTACAAACAGGAATGACTTCTGGGTGTAGTGATGGACTCAGACCTGAACCTTCAGCATCACATAAAGATTGTTACAAAATCAGCTTTCCATCACCTGAAGAACTTTTCTAAACTTTCATAAACTCATGCATGTGTTTATCTATAGTCACATTGATTACTCCCAACAGTGTCATGGAGAAGCAACACTCAGTTTTCATGCTTCTTTTATGTGGAACAAACGTCCATAAAACAACAAAACAGCTGGAACACAAAGCTAAAAATCTATTTTTAAGAGTTTCCTTTTTGAAGAGGGTAACACTGATTACATATTTAATGTATATTCATTTGATTATTTTTAATGACGGCATTTGACAAAATGTAATATTTATCACTTGTTTTATAATCGGTGACGATTATGTTTTCATGAACTACCTTTATGCTGAACTACAAATAAATTTGATTTCCATAAAACTGGAAAACTGCTGGAACACTGAGTCCCTTTTAATCAAGACTGAAGTCCTATTTGATTAATAACAACTGGAATATTGAATAATTTAAGTCTGGACTAGCACATTTAAGTATTTATCTCTATTTTGGCACTGTAATATCATGTTCTTTAAACGTGCCAGATACAAAATGTGCGGAAGCTCCACAGGAAGCTACTTTATGTCCAGTAACACTGAACATGAGTCTGTA